TTGAATAGTAGCTGGCCATCATGTAGAGTTACTAGTGAGTGCTGTTCAGTCTTGAATAGTAGCTGGCCATCATGTAGAGTTACTAGTGAGTGCTGTTCAGTCTTGAATAGTAGCTGGCCATCATGTAGAGTTACTAGTGGATGCTGTTCAGTCTTGAATAGTAGCTAACCTTCATGTAGAGTTACTAGTGGGTGCTGTTCAGTCTTGAGTGGTGGCTAACCTTCACGTAGCTTTGCACAAAATCCTGAAACAAAAAAACATTTAAAGAAGACAGTTTTTCACTGATTACTATTTCCATTATCAATTTGCTGCTTTTAATGTGGCTATTTGTAGTTACACATTTTCGAAGTAATTCCCTTCCTTGGGTTCCAGTTGTTCAAGGTTAGAGTGAGTGTTTTCTCACCAATTGTTCTTTGTTTGGAATAGATTCGTGCAAGTAAGCACCAGATTATCTTTTTATTAATGTGTGACCTTTTACAGATCAGTGGTTTTAGTTGAAAAACTAAAGGAAATTTGAAACAGTTCATCAAAGTGGAAAGACACTTGTTCATCAACATCTTATGTACCATGATGTCAATAGTAGTAAACAAAATAACATGCAGTTGTGACAAAGAAAAGAGTAAGAGAACAAAAATCCTCTTTTTAAAATATGTCCAAAAACAACAAACTCTACACTAGTTCAATTAGCAGTGGTGGCTTTAGACATAGACAGTTAGGACCTACCCAAGAGACCCGTCTGGGTTCGTGCTAGCCAGTTTCCATGACTCATAGGCAGTAATTACACCAACCACCATGTACTGTAAGCAGTGGTGGCTTTAGACATAGACAGTCTAGGACCGACCCAAGAGACCCGTCTGGGTTCGTGCTAGGCAGTTTTCCCTGACTCATGGGCAGTAATTACACCAACCACCATGTACTGTAAGCATTTTTTAAAACTCACTGGACAACACCTAACCTATGACAAGCTTTCACTACTAAACACATTATACAATATAGATAAGAAAAATAGATCCCGCTATAAAAAAGATGAAATATGGATCAGACATTTCATATAAAAGCATTGATATAATCTGAAAGTAGCAATTGTAAAACAATGTTATTACACATTTTAAGTAGGTGTTTATTAAGTTAACTATCCTTTATTTGATTATAGGTCAGTTTAGACATCTCCAAGTGTAGTATATTTAAACAAGTGTCGTCCCATTTTTTACTTGTATTTTTTGTACATTTTTATTATTATATGTTATCTTATTCAGTTTTAGGTCTTTTTATGAAATTCAACCATTGTTCAATAGCATTTAAAATTGTTCTCAAAACTGTTGGGCTAGGAGTAGCCTGATGGTTTGTATGCTCAGACTGTGAGAATACGAGGGTTTGGGGTTCAAGGTCCGTTGCCACTGAAATTTATTCTGCCCCATGGGGCTGTGGTTGTGATGATCAGCTCCAGCTGCTTGGTCAGATAATAGTAGTCCAAGAGTTTTAGGTGGGTGCAGTTTACTAGCTGCGAAATTTATTCTGCCCCATGGGGCTGTGGATGTGATCAGCTCCAACTGCTTGGTCAGACAATAGTAGTCCAAGAGTTTTCTGTGGGTGCAGTTTACTAGCGGCCATTTTCCTAGTCTGAAATTCAAGGATGATTAACTCAGATGGGGATTCAGGAAAAAAAACTGGTTACTTTATCAATTCAGCATTCTGGAATATTAAATCACTGTGGAGTTAGTCGTCAAGTCAGCATTCTGGAATATTAAATCACTGTGGAGTTAGTCGTCAAGTCAGCATTCTGGAATATTAAATCACTGTGGAGTTAGTCATCAAATCAGCATTCTGGAATATTAAATCACTATGGAGCTAATCATCAACCATTGGCAGAAATCTACTTTTTATTTTGTTTTTAAGAACTACATCATTTCCAAAGTGAATTAAGCTACACAATAAATTTTCCTTCTCATAGAAAAGTTACGTTTCAGCAAAGTCTAAATAATTTGGCTCTTGATATTTTTGTGTTGTTCCAGCAAGGTGTACCTAAGTACTGTCGTGAATTTAAGTGTTCGTTGAAAAAGAAACACACACACTACACTTACCACAATCCTTTCATTAAACAGCTCTGACAGTGTAACTTTGGAGGAACCTGACATCCAAGGTAAATTGCTACTTCTACCTCACATGTTAGTTTTAGATGTAGCAAGACATTACTTATAGTACTACAGTTTAAGAAAGTATTGAATACTGAGTCGTACAATAAATACCTATGATATCGGTACTGTATTTAAAACACAAACGTGTGAAGTGTAGAGAAAAGAAAAGCAGATATTAAGAGGTGTGTCTATTCTACGTTTAACTGCTGCCACTAAATAATTTAGTAATCATTCTTAAACCTGACTAAACATGGCATTATAAGATAAAACTACTATTCTTTCAAGAGTGAAGATGTTACCCCATGGCTAACATTCACTTTAAAATAAGGGATATTATATCCGTGGGGTATCATACGACTTGCCAGTGGAAAAGATCACGGTCTCTTTCTATACAACTTACTTTTTGGTATAGCAGTCTAAATAACTAAATGTTGTATTAAATGCTAAACAAACAGAAATGTTAAATAAAAGGTTAAGTTTTGTATGTGGCTCTGTAAGTTATCAAACAGTAGACATAACAAAAATTGAAACAAAGCTATGTAAAGTGAAAGATACGTTATTCTGTGATTTATATATGAATTAAAGATCCAGCTTGAAATAAGTTTAATTTGACATCAGAAATGTGGTAGTTGGTGAGCTAGACAACATGGTAAAGAAGGTTTATAATAAAGTGTTAAATGTCTGATAGACGACATGGTAAAGAAGGTTTATAATAAAGTGTTGAATGTCTGATAGACTAATTGGTAAAGAAGGTTTGTAATAGTGTTGAACGCCTGATAGACTACATGATAAAGAAGGTTTGTAATAAAGTGTTGAACGTTTGATAGACTACATGGTAAAGAAGGTTTATAATAAAGTGTTAAATGTCTGATAGACGACATGGTAAAGAAGGTTTATAATAAAGTGTTAAATGTCTGATAGACGACATGGTAAAGAAGGTTTGTAATAAAGTGTTAAATGTCTGATAGACGATGTGGTGAAGAAGGTTTATAATAAAGTGTTAAATGTCTGATAGACGACATGGTAAAGAAGGTTTGTAATAAAGTGTTGAATGTCTGATAGACATGGTAAAGAAGGTTTGTAATAAAGTGTTAAATGTCTGATAGACGACGTGGTAAAGAAGGTTTGTAATAAAGTGTTGAACGTCTGATAGACGACATGGTAAAGAAGATTTGTAATAAAGTGTTGAACGTATGATAGACTACATGGTAAAGAAGGTTTGTAATAAAGTGTTGAACGTCTGATAGACGACATGGTAAAGAAGGTTTGTAATAGTGTTGAATGTCTGATAGACTACATGGTAAAGAAGGTTTGTAATAATGTTGTATGTCTGATAGACGACATGGTAAAGAAGGTTTGTAATAGTGTTGAATGTCTGATAGACGACATGGTAAAGAAGGTTTGTGATAAAGTGTTGAATG